GAAATTTTATGATGTTTTAATGAATGCATGTTCATTTTTCCTTTCTCGATGTAATGGTGTTCATACCGACACTGTTGAAAAGACAATTGTTAAAACAATTTTTTTTCTTGGTTATCCACAATTATAATAAATTATCTTTACAGATATTTTTGTCTAATCTGGATTTGCTAATGTAGTAACTATGGAAACCATGAATAATTATGAGTGCGCAATCAGGTATTGCATTATAAATATGCAAATAAAAAGTGGTTTATATTAGTAGTATTCAGTCCATGCAAGGTGCACTTTGTAATACTTTTTTTAAATCTCTCTTGTCAGGAATGACAAACAGTTATTTGATGAAGACAATTCAAGACTGCATCTAGCTGGTAATATTGCAATGCGATGATTGATATTATTACCTTTACTATGTAAATATTCAAGTTATCTTCTTGTCTTTATGCAAAAACTCTTGTATTTTTGGGCAGATATTCACCTCTTAGTTCTGTTAAATTAATATTCTTGAAAAAAAAATTTTTGGCACATAATGGATTTATTTTATTATGGCACCATCGGTTATTTTGTTCTTCAAATTGGTTTATGGTTTATTTGTCTCTGTAAATAGTCAATTCTGAATATTGTTGTTTTTATCTCGCTAGAGTCAAATTTCGCTAGTTAGTGAAAGTCATGAAATTTTGCAATTCTGTAGACCTACAACAACGGGTGTCAATGATTATTGTGTCATCATTAGTGCCATTAATATAAATCATCAAATCTTAAAATGAAACAGTATATACACTCAAGTTAAACTTGTTGTTTCCTGGTTGGAAAATAAGTCATAAATGCCATAATTTACAAAGTCGTATGTGGAAATAAAATGACAAACGTAACTTGAATGTTTTTTGTAAAATTATTTTGGGGTCGTGTATAACTGCATAACGCATGGTTTAAGGGGGCTGTTCGGCTTTACTATGCCGAAGAACTTGTCGACAAACGAGATGCTCCGTCAATGGAATATACTAGTATTAGATGTTAAGATTGGGTAGCTTCGCATTGATTAGAATATGCAGATTTTCAGGCATTTCCATTGAAAATTCTTAAAATGCACACTGTAATCAAGACAAAATATAATTTGTGACATTTATCATATGTAATTTAATATCTGATGAACCCTGGCAAACTGTAAAATAACTGATTTTGATATAATTTTAATAATTATTTTTATCATGTCCGTAATAATAATAAGGAAGTTGTGAGGTATATTTGTTGCCATGATAACTTGAGTAAGTTTTGTCCAATCTTTATCAAACTTAGACATGTTCCCCTGAAAATTTCAACCATATTTAAATCATAATTTTTGACATTATTTGTTGGCAGAAAAGCCACATAATACAATGTTTCATTGCCCAAAAATGGCAGATCACAGCATCTTTTATCATTCCTTTATATTCCTTGTCTTACTTTTTAGCTCCGTTGTCGACTTTGTCGAGCGGAGCTTATCATATGAGTGATTGTCCGTCGTCCGTGTCAATGTTTTACTTTTTCGACTTCTTCTTGAAAACTACAAGCCTGTATGCTTTGATACTTGGTGTGTATATACCTCGGGTAGACCTCTCTTAGATTTGTTCATTTCATAATCATATCTTCAATTCTCTAATTTTGGTGAATATTTTTGGTAAAAAGTGATATTTTCGACTTCTTGTTAAAAACCACAAGTCCAATTGCTTTGATATTATATATATATATAGGTACTACATGTGGACCTCTCTGATTTGTTCATTTTGTAATAATAATAACTTTATTAGCTCCGCTGTCGACTTTGTCGAGCGGAGCTTATCATATGAGTGATTGTCCGTCGTCGTCGTCGTCCGTCGTCGTCGTCCGTCGTCCGTGTCAATGTTTTACTTTTTCGACTTCTTCTTGAAAACTACAAGCCTGAATGCTTTGATACTTGGTGTATATGTACCTTGGGTAGACCTCTCTCAGATTTGTTCATTTTATGATGATATCTTCAATTCTCTAATTTTGGTGAATATTTTTGTCATTTTTAGTAAAAAGTGATATTTTCGACTTCTTGTTGAAAACCGCAAGTGCAATTGCTTTGATATTACATATATAGGTACTACATGTGGACCTCTCTCAGATTTGTTCATTTTGTAATGATATCTTTAATTCTCTAATTTTGGTGAGTATTTTTGTCATTTTTGGT